TACACCGCACATTCTAAAACTTACACCGCACATTCTAAAACTTACACTGCACATCCCAAAACTTACACCGCACATTCTAAAACTTACACCACACATTCTAAAACTTACACCGCACATTCTAAAACTTACACTGCACATCCTAAAACTTACCCCACACATCCCAAAACTTACACCACACACCCTACAACTTACACTGCACATCCTAAAACTTACACTGCACATCCTAAATCTACACTGCACATTCTAAAACTTACACCACACATCCTAAAAATTACAATGCACATCTTAAAACTTACACTGCACATTCTAAAACTTACACCGCACATTCTAAAACTTACACTGTACATCCCAAAACTTACACTGCACATCCTAAAACTTACACTGCACATCCCAAAACTTACCCCACACATCCCAAAACTTACACCACACACCCTAAAACTTACACTGCACATCCTAAAACTTACACTGCACATCCTAAAACTTACACTGCACATCACAAAACTTATTCCACACATCCCAAAACTTACACCACACACCCTAAAACTTACACCACACACCCTAAAACTTACACCACAGATCCCAAACTTACCCTATGCATCCCAAAACTTACACCGCACACCCTGAAACTCTGCACATCCCAAAACTTACACCACACATCTACACATCCTAAAATTGGCACTGCACATCCTAAAATTGATACTGCACATCCCAAAACTTACAATGCACATCCTAAAATGTACCCTGCACATGATAAAACTTACACCGTGCATCCTAAAACTTACACTGTGCATGTATACATCTTAAAATTGACACTGTACATCCTAAACTATGGAAACTAAAGTGAGCCAAGATGGAGGACCAGACCTCTGCTAAAAGCCTGCTGTGGTTGTCATTAGATGGCAGAGGCAAAGCCGAGGACAGAGGGACCAGCACCAGCAGAAGCAGTTGAGCTTTCATTATTGTTGACTCGAGTTGGTCCAGCCAGTCTCTGAGGTTCTGAAACTCTGAAGGGTATTTAAAGAGTTTGTGCCGACACTTTTTTCAAGGCTCCTAGTGAGTCATGTAAAAGTACCTAGCCACTTCCTTTTTCATCATTTGGGAATGTGCTTGCCTCTGTAAATAAACCCTGATAGCGCTTTCAGTCAACTGCTTTAAACTAAACTGACATGTCTGGATAAATCATGCAGGTTGGGTCCATTTAACAGTTTGACATCTAATTTATTTTAAAGGAAGATGCTGCTCTTTTCTTACCTTTCTTTAGTTTGATAATTTAAGCAGAACAAGCATTTTGAGCCTTATTTAAGTCAACTTGTGGTGTAATAGTGATCTTTTTACCAGCTTTTATTGACGATAAGCTTTATACCAGAAACATCAAAGGGTAATTTGGTTTTCTGGTGCTCCTGGTCTCGTGACAGTCTTGAGTTTTGTTAATCTTATTTTAGCAGAACATCTTCTAAGAGCCATGACTAACAAACACACAGTGTAAAGACAGACTTGATAACAATATGAAGCAACAGATTCACAAGTTTGTGCTTCAATATTACCAGTAGATATGTGGACAGGGTCAATGTGGTCGGATGAGTTCTATCCTGTAGATTACATCAGATCTACTTGGAAATGATTAAAAATGGACTTTCCTGACGTAGGTGCTTCATATGTCTATATTTACAGTATCATGTCTTTAAAATGACCAGTTTTACACACATCATAACAGTCAGCAAAAAGCTCCTTTGATCTGTGTACAGTTGTGTACAGTTCTGAGACCAGCAGGACGTTTAGTCACAGTGCAGAAACCAACGTGAGATTCTGTGATACATCACGCACACAAGATGTGAAGAAGTATGAGCTCAGTCAAACCATAAATGTAATATTTATGAGTTGTAAACCACTTCAAATGGTTTCTTTCAAATGAAGAAGTACAAAAAATGGCAGCAGAGGTGAATAAAATGATAAATTCAGGTTTAAATTCATTCAACCTTTATTTATACAGATTAATCCCATTGAGCCTCGGGGACTCATTTACAAAAGAGACCTGATTTGTTTTTTTTAACAAAGAGTGATGACAACAGTGGATAACAAAGACAACAATAGACAATCATAAAAGATGTGTACAGATTTAAACTTTTTTTTTAAACAAGTTAAAATAAAATGGCAACCAAAAGGGCAATCAAAAGGAAAAGTAGTGAAAAAAAAAAAACAGTAAAGAAGTGTAGAATGTGTAAACGCAGCCCTGATTCATCACAAACTCTCAGGAAGTAAACTTTTTTAACATTAAACACCAATGAGAACAGGTCATAACCACACGTGCATGCTCACCATTCATATATCAACCATAGCACAACAACAACAAATGTAAGCAAACTACATGTTAAACACATGAAACAACATGAACAGAAACACGTGGAGGAAGGTCTGGAACGTTCTGTTTAACTTTGTGTTTGAAATGAACAGTGAATGTAAATCTTAATGTTTTAGTACAAGACATTTAAGTAGGAGTTACACTGTGAAGAAGAACAGAGGGAGGTTTTAGCTTTTGCTTGTTCGAGGCAGCGCAGAGTGACAGATCCTGGAAGAGTGGAGGGAGCAATTTTTTCCACCACCAGGAGCAATGGAGGAGCACTTCCTGAACACTCATCATTACTAATATTAGTTTTGCTAAATTGTTTGGAGTTAAAAACGTCCACAAAAGTATGTTTCTTTCACTAGTTGTTTTCTCACAAACTTTAAATTACAACTGGAATTCCCTTATCTTTTCTTCTTTTTAAATAAACCAACACCATGTTAATATTTAATGTTTACATTAGAAAGAAAAGACTTTAAATGATTTTAAACGATGATTTTTAGATGGACTTCTTTAGTAGTGCGGTGTGTGTCGAGGACGCTGCAACATCCTGCAGAGACAAATATTTTTGGAACATCATCGGTATCCTGGAGGTGTAAGACACGCCGTCTCTGATTCATCCAGGAGGAAGTTGGCCATCAGGGGGTTTTAGTTATTTTAAAATGCTGCCCACAAACACACACACACTCAGCCCTGTCTAACCATCAAAGGACTGAGTACATCTACAGGCACACCATTTCTGTTGTACCTGCAAATAAAAGTAAAGAACGTACCCATGATGCATTGCATGAACTGCAGTATACAGTGTATACCCCTCAGGCTTATGGGTACATAGATGAGCATTTTCTGCCCTGTAGAGGTTAAGTCTGGTCTAGGCCATTTTACACCCCGGGTACATTTTGGCCTAAAACAGTTTATCCCCGGGGTATACTCTGGCCTGGATTTAATCTGGGCAGGGGTTAATTTGGCCTGTTACACTGGCACCGACTTTTCCTCCTGTGAGCAATCTCTGATCACTAATTTAGGAGCTTTTTAAAGTTTAGTAATCTGCCAGATTAAAGTCAAATCCTGCTTTTTGTTATTTTAATTGAGGCAGTTATCAAAATGAAAGCTTGTCCGGTCTAATCTGCAAACAGGGTTCATGGTTCTGTACCAGCCTGTCTGGATCATTGGAATGGACTTCTGTTGCTGTGGCTCGGTTCTGAACCAGTACCAAGAAATGTGTTCACATTTTGTCAGGCTTGGCTTTCCTTCACTGGGTTCCGGTTAATTTTTTAATCCATTTAAGCTCATCCAGAGTGTTGGGTCTTGCGTCTCTCAACTTTCTCTT